ACACACACACATACGCACACACACACACTCACGGTAAATATAATATATATAGGTTGCGGTGGACCGCCCAGCAAATGAATGGATCGGCATTTCCGGCCGTTTCATTCACCGTTTTCACAGTGCCCACATATATATGTGAGTGTGCTGCGGCTCTCCCGCGAGACCCTCCAGATTTTCATTTCGAAACAGGTTCCGATTTCATGCGATGCGTATACAATATTCGTCTTGTGTACATTGTATGGTATGAAACAGATAAAAAGAGAAAATCGACCGTTAATCGCGAGCGCTCACGCTATGTACATAGGTATATATGGCACACAAGCGTATTTCGTTTCCAAACCGTCGTCAGTATAATATATATATTATATATATAATGTACGTTTGGCACATATTATTGTACATGGTACGCAAGTGCGTCACGCCCACCGCTGTCAGACGTTGTTGAAATAATACACACATGCATATAATGTAACGTGTGCCATTGCGATGAGTTTTTTAACGGATTCCCGATGTACGACGGTGCAGTATACGAAGTAGGTATGGGTAGGTATATAGGTACTAGATACAATGCCGACGACGCGACGGTGACGTCTCTATGTATAATAACAGAAAAATTTGAATACTTAACTACAACGCCCATATAATAATAATATAATGTTCACTCTTAACGGTCCCTACGGTTGTAACTGTAGTCGTTGTTGTAGCTTCCTATGTTCAAATATTTGAGACGAGCGTTTCACAATAATCTTATGACATAATACAACGACTATGATACTCGATACAGGATGACGTGTAATAATAAGTATTATAGATTATAGACGTTTTTGTAACAGTTTGGAATTAGAATACTAATGAGTGTAATGCAAGCGTTTAGATAAAGAATCTATATACGTTAAACTGAGACGTACATGGTTTTGACAAGATTGTATTACAATTTTTACCTATGCTTTTAGTTCACATTCTATCCCTAATTGGACTTAATTGCTTGTTTAAAACCGCTGTGCACGAACGAGAGCCACTCCGATCTTGGGCTCTGGCTATGAAAAAACGGATAGCCATGATAAAAAGTGAACTTTAATATGGTTTGTTTTTTTAATTTTTTTCTGGCCTAAGATAAAGTTGTTGCATGTTTTAAAATCGATTATTTTTTAAATTTTGATAACTTTTTTTTTGGAAATGGCATATCGAAAATATAAAAACAATATTACACGTAAAAGTTCTCTATTTTATGGTGGACATTTTGTTTCTTATCTAAAACTCTATATTATTATAGTTTGTATCATAGTCTTCTCGATTCTTTCCCCGGTTCTTTCTTTTAAAAACTTTTTAATTTTACAATTACGTAACAATTATCAATGGTACTACTCTCGAAGTAGACAAGATATCTTCTTTACAACTTGATTCTACCATAGGACCGTTTATAAGTTACTTTGAATTAGCATTTAAATATGCTGTGATTAAAATGTTGTTTGCCTATATAAAACCCCTTGAAAAGCATAGGAACCGTGATGTCCTTAATTCATTCCTATAATTTATGGTTTATAAATATATATAATATATTTATTTTATACATGTTTATACTATTAGGTTAAACATATAGACTCGGTCTATATTATAAGAGTATCTATTAACTATGAATATTAAATATTTTAATTTAAAATTATACTGTAGCACGGTTGTATTTATTTGCAAATATACTTCCCATAGTTTATATTTTAGAATAATTATCATATCTCATATAAGCATTATGTACCTAACTCTACTGAACTACAATAAGCTCGTTTATGCTTTTTTTTTTAATATAACACCAACTATATTGAAATATCTATATGCGGATAAATAATTGGTTCATTGCAATTGTATTGCGTATTTGTATAAATAATAAATATATTATATATGTCCGTATATAAAATAAAACTCTGTGTCTTGTATACTGTAAGGTAACTTCAATACTTTAAAAAAGACTGAAACAGCACACAATAAATAAAGTAAGTAAAATAATAAGTCATCAGAACACTAGCTGTAACTGCATTTTTTAATTTTTTGAACAATGGGAGCACCAAATTTGTATATCGTATGTATATAAGACCTATACAAACATAGATCTTACTTCAAGTCGGGCATTCAAGTCTTCCACAACCCCAATGGTCACTGTGACCAATACTTAGGTATGGTATAACGTATAACTGATATCATGTGATATCATTAAGCAATTTTTATTCAATTAAATATTCATAGGTACATCAAAAACGAATACATACATCAAAATAAAATCAATTTCATAAGACTTTAAAAGAAAAATCTGTTCAAAATATTTAATATTTTCTTTAGTTGTTGATTAAATTTGATTTTTAAAAACGACGAAAATAAGTAAACTTTCCTAATAAACGACCTAAAAAATCAACATAAATTAAACGTAAAAATTAAAAAATTGAAAAATCGTTAATATTGTAGGTTTTAAAATTACGTGAAAAAATTGAGGTCTATAAGTCGTAACGTGTTATAATATTATGGAGTCAACTACTTTCAGTTGTTGCAGTTGACCAAAATCTATTGATTTACCATCAGTCATATTCGTTGAATGTACCTATGATGCGTATCGACGAAATAAGCGTGTAATAAGAGCTGGCCTCAGATGCGACTATTCAATTTAAAAAGTCAGTCTCAATAAAAAAAAAAAACCAAAAAAAAAATAATATACAGTGCCGAAGTAAGCGGAGCAAGACGATGGCCCAGCGTGCAACCGGATGACGGACCCAGTCTCTGTGTGTATCTTATACCTTGTTAAAACTAATTTATGTTTGTTTTTCTCGTATGCATCCTCTATACCTATTATACATTTATACCTACTTGATATTACGTGTACTCCGAGAAATACATATCAGCGGTACCTACGTATTATTAGGTATTATTTTATATACTATTCTATACATCGATTTTGGATAATAATCACGTACTGCGCATTCGATTCGGAGTTAATGGTGTGCAGAGACAATTGCAGGTAGGTTATATATGCCTAACTATGTAAACGCGCGTACCGTGTAATATATTTTAATGAGTCTGAGCGTGCAAGGGGATATATCATACGAATATATATATATATATATATATTATATATGTACTATGTAGTAATGTAGTATATACATATATAATACACATGTATACAGATACTTGTTAGTTGTTTTATTTTGTTAATGATGTGTCTGGAATTGAAAAACTGTTCAATTGCCGCAGTATAGTTTATATAAGATGTAGGAAGGAGTATATCCTCCACAGCTCCAATGACCGGGAAAAAATAATAATTGTAATAATATACATTACAATATCTAGGTAATATATTTACCTATTATCATTTTTTTTTCAAAACATATCATATGCTTATTGTAATGTAATTTGAAATTTCCTGTAGGGATTGTACCTGCATTTTTTATGACTCCCCAAACAAAATAATCCCTGCAGTTTTTTTTACGAAACGAATGCCTTAAAATAATAATAAACTCACATGTTTATATTAAATAACATAAATGTTATGATTTTTAAATTCGAAATTTAAAATTGATTTGTAATTAATGTAATATTTAAATATTATATAATTATTATAAATAATAAGACATTTTAAAATATATTTAACAATAACTTAGAGTATTTAAATGATTGACATTGAAAACTAAGCCACTAGAGTTTATATAAATATAACATTATAGTATTTTTACTGACAACTAATACCCGGATAAAAGTGCTCTAAAAACTATTAAAAAATTACCTCCATATTTTTGATAAGCGACCCCAAGTGACAAAAAAACGATGGTCTAACTTTCAATAATTTTAACACTTTATCTTAACTCAACTCACAATAAGACAAAAACAAAAAACCAGCATTTATTCAAAATAACAGCGATCAAGATATAATTCAAACTAATCAATTACTAATAAGTTATAATTTATTTGAGTCACCTTGCATGTATGTGAGATATCACATCCGATAATCGAGGTAGATAGATAATTACGTTATAGTACCTATTCACAAATAGAACAATATTGTAGTTTCTGTATCAATTCTTAGGCCCGAACGTGTCAACAATATTGAACAGACTCTAAGCTTCATAAAAGCAATAGAAATAGAAAATTTAATATAGACAGTTAAAACGTATGTGAAAAAACAACGCTTAAATATGCAAAATAAAAGTTTCACCTCTCAGGCTCTCAATTATCGAATTAAGAACTAGGGATGCTTTTTCCTGACTCCTATATAGCTGTATTAAAAAAAATACACTCTGCATAATAATCCAGACCCAATTTTCGCGAGGCGTCTGCACGTTAAAGATTTACGAACGCCATTTGATTATTTTGAATCTATAAAAATATAGTTTAATATGGTTAGCAGTGCATCGGCAAAAACAACAGCTTAGTTGTACAACAAACAAGCAAATAATGGAACCACTGCAGAATTAGACGGGAATAAAATAAAAAGAAGGCGCATCATGACGAACGATGTAACATTTTATTACGCGCGTGTAAAACGCGGTACTCGTACACCGGATAACAATAAACATAATAAAATTATATATAATGTGGTATAGTCAATAAACTAATAAAATGTATAACACCATTACGCCAACACAACATATACATATACAATAATATGTATAAATATATATAGTATAGCTATGCGGTGTCCGTCCGGTCTTGGTCTCCGTCTCTCCTCCCCCGCCGACACATATACGCACGCACTAATATACCACACAACCCCCAGTGGCGGCGCCGACCGTGTACCCATATGTATATATATATATATTATATATATATAAGCGATATGCTCACGCCCAAACCCGCAACGATGTTCTCTTTACCACCACCATGGCACCACCGCCACCTCCACCACGTCTTACGGCGGAAAGAAGAGGGAAAAAACACGCGTATGTGTGCAGCATACATATATATAAAACGTACCTAAACGCGTAATAATAATAATAATAATAGTGTAAGACGTCCGTTTTATTCGATGTCACGGCCGTCTGTAGTGCACAGTCGTTCTTAAGGGTCGGTCGTCGCTGCTGCAGCACGTGCACGTTCAGTGCTAAATACACCCTCGTCGATCTCGGTCCGCGCCACTATTGTAATACTACTCGTCGATACCCACTCGTATAATAACACTGTTTTTTGCGGACGTCTTCCGTTTTTTGTCAGCTATATTATACCGTCATAATACACGACTTATATTCATAGCTTCACGCATCAATCAATTATACCCAATTATACGGGCGGGACGTATTTATATTTACCTGACGGTGGTTCATCCCTGTGGATCGATTATTTTTATTTTTTTTATCTCTATTCTCGGGTGAGCTATTTTTATTTTTTGGAAATCATATCCCGTCTATGTATTAATGTATAATATGTGTCTGTATAGTGCTTCTGAGTACTTCCCTACTGTGCATACGTCATTGAACTTATCATAATGTATTTTTTGCAAAATAGTTTCGTTTTAATAAATTTAATTTTTTTACGTTTCAGTCCGTTTCAGACGAAATGTGCCATACGATGATTTCTGGTACCGACGACGACGAAAACATGGATGAGATCTCTTCGACCTCTCCGCCGCCGACAAACTCTAAGAAACCCGGAAAACTACACATCGAGCCCCGGAAGGTATGGAAAAATGTTTTTTTTATTATTATTATTTTCGTATCGCTCCGTATGGACATGCAGCCTGGCGATGACTTATTCGGTTTAAAATTAGCCACGCCACGCTGTACATCACCATAAGCTATATTATTAAATGCTCAACGTGAACTTTTTTTATTCATGCTCCGCTCCTATATATAGATCCGAAAGCCGTTGATGGAGAAAAAGCGACGGGCAAGAATAAATCAGAGCCTGGACGAACTTAAACGAATAGTAGTGGACGCCGAGAAATTCGTAAGTACCTAAATATATAAATATTGTATAGGTACGTGTATATTTACTGCGACACCGTCAACTATAAATTAGTTTTTATTATATATATACACGCAGATAGAGTTAAATAATTAAATATTATTGTTGTCACGATGGACATCTATTATATTAGTCGTCTAAATCTACATTAAAGTATCGTAAAAAATCCACATTCTTATACGTCAAATGAATTATACGCGTACGCAAGTTTATATAAAAGCGGGAAACGGAAATAGCGGGATTATATTATCAGAGTGCGCATAGGTACCCACATAATCCTACCAAACGTATTAGTGTATCACTTACATATTTATGCACCGGCGCACCGCACATAATATTTTATGTGCATAGCGATGTACGCATTGGTATATGACACGAGTATTATTAATATAACACTACATTCATCTAAATTAGTAGTACGTCCCGCTTAAAATTATAGTAAAAAATCCCGATATTAGATACGGGTTCCGGGTACGCTCGTAAAAAATCAACAATACGGCTCCCGCTAGATTAGGTATTACTGGAATCTTTTAGTACTTCGAACCCTTTCTGAATTCACACCCTTCACGCTGGATAATCTACAAGACTAGGCATATTATGTAGTTAAGGATTTGAGTTCAGAATTGAAATAAACGTAAAGGGGGTGTTTATATTATACATTTATACGTGCACAAGAGAATGTATTTTTTTTATTACAGTTATTATTTTATTATTTATAAACATACCTCATATTCATTATTATGGGATACTACTACATGTAAGTCCAAAGTACATTACGGAACAACGTCATGAAGTTCACGAGCTATTGAAATATTTAAATAAATATTAGCACTTTCTGTGACTCCAGTCTCCAACTGAACCTTTAGCACTTCAACACTTATACAGCGACATCGATATGTTTTAATTGTATATCTATTACACATAATAATAATTACAATATTCAATAAGCACCAATGATCGATAAAAAATGTTATTTTATACTGCGAATACGTGTATAACTATTATTCTTTGCCAGATTTTGCTCATTTTTTATCTATCAGAACAACCGACAATGACAACTTTAAGGCATTAAATATTTCACTCTAATGGCCTATTTCAAACTTGTATGATTCGTGATGATTAGAATAATTGGTCATGATCGTGTTTAACATATTTATTTTTAAAAAGTTTATTGTTAAAACCAGGCACCTACATTCACATGTACGATGTACACATTATTTAAACGAAATAATTTATCTATAATAAATCAAATGATCGAACTGAATCAATTAGGCTAATACGATTTTAAGTGAGTAAAAAAATGTATTCTGAGATTATTGTAAATATTATACTATAATATATATATGTAGGTACCTATGTTTCGTCATTTATCGACGATTGAGTACTGTAAATTATTAGATATTAATATATTATTTATAGTTGGTTGGACGGAGACTCGTTTACGGTTAATTTCTATTTATTATCCCTGTAGTAGTCGAAATATAATAATAAGGTTCGATCTGAGATTGTCCGATAAACGATATTTTAATTCAAATAAAACACATCTAGGTAGGTGGAAGGTATCTATTAATAGGTATCAAGAAGTACCTCGACATCTCGTGTATTCGGGGATGTGCCTAATTATACATTTGTATACATGATTTTGAATATTGGTACATCAATAATATTGTGTCAGGAGGAGGGAAACGTCTTAATGGCTAATATAATCAGTTCCATAGTCCATCAATAAATTGTAAGGAGGACCGTTTATTGATCTATTATTGTTATTGGTTGATTGCAGGCCGGACAAGACCTCTCCAGAGTGAACAAACTGGAAAAAGCCGATATCCTGGAGATGACGGTCAGGTACCTGAAACGGAATTCGACGGCATCGGCGCCGTCGTTGCCATCACCCGGACCGGAAGTATATGCGGCTGGATACCGGCGGTGTATAGGACAGGTCCAAGAGCTATTGGCTGAACAGTGGACGGCTGAGCGGCGGCAAGTTTCCGGTCAAAGGATGATCGAGCACTTGGAGTCGTGCGCTAGGAGGCTGAACAACGCGCCGGTGAACCGATTGTCGTCGTCGTCTTCTACATCCTCTTCGGACGAACCGCCGAACACCAATGTCACCGTCATAAACAATAATAACGTTTGCTCGTCGTTGTCATCTTGCTCGTTCGACGAAGACGACAGCAACGCGGCGACGGAGGACCGTACTGCGACGGAATTACGCCGAGACGCCACACCCGAAAAGTTGATGTGGAGGCCTTGGTGACGGACCGGTTACCATGGTAGACAACCGCGGTACCACGTCACTCTTGTGTTTTATCATCGTAATGTAATAATTATTAATAATAATTGACAACTGTATGCCCCCATTGTACCTGTTCTCCAAGACTTTAGTTCGTAAGACATGTAAATATTAAATATTGTATTGTGACCATAATAATGATTATGTTTTTATTTCTCAAATAACAAGACAATCGAATCGTTATCATTTCAATAGTCCTTTTATTATTCGTTTAATTAGTTATTACAATCATTTCAAACTGGTATATAATATTATATGATATATACATACTTAACCTATATAACATCACATTGGTCTAAACATAGAACAAAACGTTACAATAAAAATTCACTGTGCACAACACTATTCACCAAAACAGCAGCTCTCCGGTGCGAAAATTGACGTCATTATTGTTGTTACTTGTTAGTATATACCTATTGTACCTAGGTTGGTGGTAAATCGTTATTCCTCGTATATTTTTAAAAAGGCACGTTCAGGTCTGTACACAAACAGTAGGTAATCCAAATTTTAACTGATGTTCAAGGTAAAAAAAAAAAAATTCCAAAACGAATGTATGAACGTTTATAAGCCATCATGGCAGACGATCATTGAGGTGCATGTAGGTATTTGAACACATAGAATATCAAATATAATTCAAAGGAAAAAATGAGCATATTATCTAATAGTTTCCTTTTTAGTGTTGATCATACAATAGAAGGTAAATCATATGTTATTATAATATTGTTAGTGTAATTATGTTTCTGAGTTAGAGAGAGCTACAGTAGTTGGTGACAATAACAGTTCTAAATATTAAAATATATGAATATAATATGTATTAAAAATGAAAAAAAAATTTACAAATGGAATGGTTCAAAAATGTTTAAATTATACAAACAATTAGGCCCAAAAACCTAAAATATTTTAATATCCACTATAATTAAAACATAAATAATTAGTGAAATGTATGTGCGCATTCAACATTTTGGTTATTGCGTTTGTTTTTAATCATAGGTTTGTAATAATGATGTATTGTTAATAACAATTAGCCCAACTATTTATAATAATATTCAAACATAAGCTTATATATTAAATAATTCAGGATAAAATTACAGAAAAATAATAGTTTTTTTGACTATCCCTTACATCATAATATGTATTTAATGAGATATTTTAGTTTGTCTAATTAAACAATTTATGGATTTTGAGTAATTAAATTCACACTAAACATAATGAGATAGATGTATCAATAGAATATTAGAATCATATAATAGATTTATAAGTTAAGATGTACAAATGTAATCTAAGTAAGAGTGCATAAAAACACGAGTGATATATTTATAAGTATCACTAGTGCTTTCAAACATAACCAGATTTTACCAATATTTGTACATCTCAAACATATTTAATACTTTAACAGAACTATACTTTACACTTTGAATTAAACTATTCTAAAATAAATAAATAAAAGCATAATCTTTAAGGACTATAAAAAAATTATCTTTAACAATAAAGTAATTTAATTAATAACGGTTTTTTACTTCAAAACATGTATTATGTATGTTTATGATAAATATTCTTAACTTATTAAAGTCTTTTTTTTATTGTATACATATTAAGGTCAAAAAATTTGTACAGGTAATTTGACAATTTATTACAATTATAAACACTATTACATCATATTAATTTAAACTTGTAAGAATAAGAATTGAAAGTATGCTACCATTATAGTCAATATTGTCAAATACCATTTCTATAACAAAGTACAAACATTAGCCCCATTAATCATTTTTAAACTAACTATTTTTAACCACTTCCATATAAATTAATTTCAGAAATGTAAGTAAAAATGTAATACTTAAAAGTTGGAAGTAACGGTATGCAAACAACAGAATGTAAACTGCGAAAAAATTATTTTTTATGACTAAAATTGATACAATAAGGGGATAAAAAATATTTTTATAAGTGATGTATAATTTTACATGTTATGATTACATGTTACAATTGTTATTGCATAATAAGAGATATATGAAATTAATCATTACTAATTTTAGTCTTAAGAGAACCGTAATAAAATTTATGTTTGACCACGAATAGCAATCATTATATATTACTGATAAATTAAATGTTTATAATTTTATATATTTAATTAACAAATAAGTACTGCAATTATTAGAAATGTAAATACTGTTTTTGTTATAAATAATACTCTTATAGTATTTCTAAATATCATAATACTGAATACATTAATATTAAACAAATATCAATAATTAATTTAATAACAAATGAATGATTCACATATCATTTAATATTTAATAATAATAATAATAATAATAATAATAAAAATACAATAATCTTATTAAAAAATGAAATTAATTAAACATTTTTTTTAAATTTTTGAATGATACTATACATTCTAGAAAGTAACATTTGTTGTTTAGTCATTCATACTAATGTAGATAGACTAATAATTACACAATCACTATTTTTACAATAAACTTGGTAATTTATTTTAGTAAAAACATAATAGGATTTAAATTAGCTAAATAATATGTTTTTGTCAAAGAATCTAATAAAAATAACTCACTGTAACAATATTTTTGAATATTTAGAACGAATATAATAATAAATAAATTATAATATAACAAAAATGTTTAGTATAATATTAATAATAATAATAATAATAATAAACTCCAATATTTGGTTACCTGGCATAATATGTTGGTTTTAAAATTGCACCCAATTAGGATTAGAATTTCCACCTGGTTGAGAAGTATTATTTGCAGAAGTAAATTCACCCCAATTATTTGGATTTGTAGATTGATGCGATGGAGATGAAGTTTGAGATGGCGGTGCTGGAATGGTTTTTAAACCGGATGAGCCTGGAGGTGGCGGCAACAGTCCTCCACTGCCCGAAATTGTCGGTCGTGGTTTAGCAGCTTGCTTATTAGGCACTCCTTCACTGCCATCTTTTTTCTAAACACATAAAGAAGTTAAATTTAATTTTTAATAATTTCATACCATGAAATGTTATCTTAAGCGTACAGTAATTTTCATATTGATTTTAATTGTTTCGCCTTCTTTGAATTTCAGATCCAATTCTTGTTTGGGTTCATTCTTTTCCTTAGCAATTTCTTCACAGACTTTAATTCTTTTAAAATGATCTTGTAAGGCAACATTCAAATCAAAACTATCAGAACGATCTCCAAATCCAAGACCAATAAATGCAGCACGACCTGATTTAGAAAATATTAAGCAATTTTATAAAATATTGTAATGAGGTCATAAAAACATACCATTTTCATCTTGTATGCGTACTACAAAGTATCTAGACGAATCAGATACAGACTCAAGAGCCACACCTGGGTACTGTTCAATGGGACATTTAGCAAACAGTTCGCCATTGTTGCGGTCTTCGAGTTTAAGAGTGCATGCATCACCCACACTGACAATCCTCAAGCGGCCTGTCCAAGTTGGTTCAGCGAGATTCCAATCGGCCGCCCTAAAAATAAATTAAACATAGCATCCAAGATACAAAAAACCGCATATTACAGCACAGACAAGTGAACTGTGGGTTTTGGATAATGTTTTTAGTAGCAATTTGCTATCATTTAGTGCTAGTATTGACCATTGCAAAATGCCTAACGAATTTGAAATAAATTATATTCACCTGTATCCTCTGTTGGTGGTTCTTGGTGGTATTTTGAAAACAAACACTTCGTTTTTTACCAACAAAATGCTCTCATACGTGTCCATGATTTCTCTTAAAACAAAATTATGTAAAAGTAAAACTTATATAAAAATAGGATTCCATTCATCCGATTCAACAAATAAATGTATTGTTCTTCTTGTAATCGTGTTAAAAAAATATATCAAATTCGACTTTATCACTGTACAGTGTACGTTGTTTTTTTTTTAATCCATGAATCGTGGGAGTGTGGGACGCTTGGAGCACGGTGTAGATAATAGGTATTAGGTGGCTGAGAGAAATCATTGATTAATTTTACTCCATGATGATTCGTAGGTATGTAATTGCGGGGTGGAAACTGGAAATCCAAAACGTACCATTGCCAAAATACTGATTTTTCAGGGAAAGCGATTTTCTGTTTTTCAACAATTCCAATAAAAAACCATTTATAAATAGACAAATCATTTTGAAGATAATGTGTTTTTTTTTAATTATTTAAGAATATAGTATTTCTATTTAAAACGATTCAAATGTATTCAATATTCTAGGACTTTATTTTGAAAATTGTATTTTAATTCGTTTTGGATTTCCACCCCTCAATTTTGAATAACCATGTAAATAACGACCATGGTCTTAGATTATTATTAACAACTATAATAACCTTCAACGTCAGGGGATCCTCCCCCTAGGAGGGGTTTTGTGTTCATCCCTAAGTCCTAACCTCATGGCCACATTCACTAGAAATATATTACATATTATTATACCTACATGCTTCAGGTTTCTACAAACCATGTAGTCATACTCATAGTTCTATTTCATATTTAATAATAGGTACCTATTCAACTATTATTATGCAGATTGATGACAACAATGAAGAGTGTGTGAAGCTCTCCACGAGTTGTACTTAAATATAAAATTAAAACACCCAAAAAAAGTTCAGGCTGAGTGCTCCAGTCTTTAAAAAAATTAGTGGAATTATTCCATAGTAGAATACTGAATAATACTTAGTAGGTACCTACTAAACATAGGTACTAGACACATATTTAATGTTAATTCATGGAACGTTTCTATATATCATACTATATTATATTATACTTATTAGTTATTAATTTATTAAAGTTATTACTTATTGTTATAGATAGCTATTATTATATTATTTTTTAAAGTCTTCTGTCTAGACCAGAGGTATTCAAACTGTGCGTCGCGGCTCCCAGGGGCGTCGGGGGAGTTGTCGAAGAGAGCCGCGTAGTATAATTGAAAACCAATAAATATTTTTACGAAAAATGTTTACTAATATCATCGAGGTGCGTCGGTTGGGAAACGTTGAATCGTTTACAACAATTATTCGCTAAATATAGCTTTAATAAATTTTATACATGGTAAATAAATTGTAAAATATAAATTACGATCATATAAACATTGATTTTTTTTTGTCATTTATAATTTGGGAGCCGTCAACATTTTGTGAAGACTCAAAGGAGCCGTGGGATGAAAAAGTTTGAACACCTCTGGTCTAGGCTATTATTATTTAAAAACTTGTTTAATTGTCTATATTATACTTTGGGCACAGGGCTGGATAAAGAGTGTTTTCACTTGGCGTAATGGAGCCCCTTTATTTTCCAATATCTGTCTTAATTTAATTCGGAATTCATAATATTTTTACATTTATCCATATCTGTTGGCATAGCTTTTAATTGTGAACATCTTATATGAGAAGTCAAAACTGAACATTTTTACTATAGTTTTCAAAAGCACAGGGAATAACAGAAAAAAAATTAAGAAAAAACGGTAATTCTTATGCAAAATCAGTTTTCGACAAAATTGATTTTGGTTTTTGGTGTAACTAAAAAAAATCATCTCACTTACATGAAATGTTCACATTATGTTTATATTAAAGTATTATGTATATACCAAACAATTTATTTTAAAAGGATTTTGACTTTAAATTATTAATACAATTTCGATTTTTATTTTTTTTTTTAAAACAATTGTCGATAAAAAATTCTTTATTTGGTCAAAAAACTTGAAAATGTTATACAACGTTCCTCATAAGTCATTGTTAGTTGAAATTGAAAAAAGAGCGTCTGAAATTCAAGAGTTTTCGATGTAAAAGCTCGTTGAAGTTTGATTATGAATAGGAATAGTAGATAAATAATGGTGCCCGCAAGGGGATGCCGGATGGGCTCCCCAATATTTTAGTTAATATGGTGGCTGAGCTTATAATGCTTAATAGTCAATACCAATAGATTTAGGTACCTACTAAACCCGATCGTTTCTCTCACAAGTCTCAATTTTTAATTCTAAGAAAACAACTTATTACTTTTACAGATTTAACAGTTAAACCTTAAAAAAGTATAAAAACTGGGTCTCTCGTATCTATACTCTAGTGCCAATTCATGAACATTTTATAAGTATTCCAAACATTAATTATTAAGTCATTAAATGAATTGAATTATAGAAATAATTTAATATGTGCTCAAATATTCGTTATTAAAAAAATAAGTTACTTAAAAATAATTTAGTATTACTTGTATTTTCATCGAAACCGGGACGGCGCGACGTGGATAACTGCTAATAAAAACTGATAAACTGTGTACCTTTTAATTTATGATCGTTCTTATACTATATTATGTTGTACTAAACATTTTTTTTGGTGTTATAATTACTTGCATACTCCATTCAGTAGTTAGAGCTTCAGCCCTCCCCCAAATCTCAAACCCTATTTGCGACTATGTATATAAAGCGTAAAAGTTTGTTTAAGATTATGCATGTGATCAAGTGATAATGGACTAATTCATTTTTAATACAATCGACCCAATATTCCTCTAAACATTGACCAATCGGTAGAAATAAAAGTTAATATTTTAGACCTTAGTGATACACGGTCAACAGACAACAGTGTATATGATGTTTAAATTTCCTTGAATTCATATTATACATTATTGAATACCTATTATTGTTTATTATATTTTATAAACAAAAAAGATTTCACGCTTATTTTTGTAGACTGGGTATTTTTCGTTGAAATTAAAATATAATATGGCAATATTTTGAGTGTAGGTATACCGTATAAGTTACCTACTGCGAACTTAATTACAATATTGACGAAAAATAAAACTACTAAACGATTTTTTAAATGTACTATTTTCATCTACTTGACTACTTTTCTACTTATAATAGTTCTTAAAATTATATTTATAATTTATAATATTATACATTATACACCACATAACTTTTGGAAAACAATTAGCATAATAAACTGTAAATATGGCTTTAGAACAACAAATAACAATAAAATAATATAATTATAGAACAAATTTTTATTTTAAAAAAAAATTAAAAATGTGCCTAACACCTTTTTAAAGCGGCAGTATTCTTCTGTTGGATTTAGCAAATGTGTCTATTCTGCAATATCTTTTTTGACATTCAATATTGCTAAATTAGTAAATAAGACCTGAGTCATGTTAGCTCTACTATATGTGTTGATCTTTCTCATAGAATATAGATGAAAAGGAACTTTCACATGTGGTTGAGTTCACTGATAATGTGATTGCCACTTGCATAATTTTAAATAAATTAGGAAATATTTCATCATTTAGATTTATTTTGATATTTATAGCCCGTATAGGAATAGGAGTATACAATATGTATAATAGTCAAATGTTTTAAACAATATGAGCCACAACTATAGACTCAGTAATAAGAATGCTTAATAATCTAGGTATTACGGCTTATGGCTACAAACCTACAATGTACAACAATAGTAAAAATAATATCACGACAAATAACATTTGTTTATTTACGAATTACATAATCTTAAAAATTACAAAAATGAATTTTGTATACTAAACTATAATAATACCGGAAAAGCTTAAAAAAAAATTTAGGAAATGTTTGGAGGGGTTTATGGACCTATAGCTCGCCAAGACTTTAAAAACAGGCATTGTGCCCATATATTATCATCGGTCCTATAGTCAACAATTTTATAAATACAACACATTAACATTTTATTTTTTGAACATTTTTGCCGTTATAACGTTATAAAACCTTTTGAAGCCCTGGTATACATATATGTATAGATACACAAGATTACTACAGAGTGCACATAGTGAATCATTCAATTTTTTTTTCAAATTAGCTTTAAAAATATTATCCAACACTGAATTTGGTAATTTGGTAATTTGTGGAAAATATAAGATTAATATTATTGAGATATAGGCCCTTGAAAAATCACAAGGCGTACACGGGCACGACCTCCACGGCTCCACACCCTATGTTTATGTACAAAGTTTAGTATTTAATAGCAATTATCCAACGGAAAAATAACAAAAGAAGGATATTACTATAAAATGCATAATTATACTGTATGTAATACCTGATTTAATTAATAAATAATAATCGATAATATACCCAAACAAATAGTGGTCGATCGTAGGATATTTAAATTTGTTATAACTTATGAGTACTCGTTGGAAAAAGTTGGCAACCCCTGTCTTGAACCTTATGGTCTGGATTTCCGATTTAAAGGTGCAACGTACAACTGTAAAATTGTCAATTGACGGCGTTCGCGAAAAAAAGTACAGCAAACATCTACCATTAAGAAAAAAAACAATTATTGAATTTGAAAACACGCGGCAAAACTAATGAGTAGTAATTCATGGAACAAAAATGATACCGTGAAAATCCACTCTGACCATGATAAAAGCGAGCATTGATATCAAACCATTACAAGTAGGTTTTCATAGGAAGCAGTAATTATTGTTATTCACTATTCACAGTGATTTTGTGGTTTTTATGTTAAATATTTAAAAAGAATTTGCCAATTGTTTCTGTAGTACAATCATCGCAACCATGACGCCTAATCCTCCTGAAGTAAGAAATAATCGATTTAAGCTTAATAATTATACTAAGGTACTAGGTGCATAGATATTTCATGTCTGTTCTTGTTTTCATTGATTGTATTTAAATTAGCCTTTGTTTTAATAATTAAGTTACATTAGCTTTTACCCCAATATATTATCATCATGTTTATTTTTTAAACAATTTTTTATTTAATAATAGTTATTAATAGTAGTATTATATGTCATAGTTTATGTGTTGTTGCTATTAAGTCCTCAAATGGTCAATTACAATTTCTCCTCATATATTGATTGTTTAACCAAATAATTACACAATTAGGGTTTTCTATAACTTATTCAGCTGACCAGTTTTATCCCTTGAACCAGTAAATATACCTTGGACCAAATATATATATATATATGAATATTGAGGTATTTAAATGTTGTAGATATAGAAGACAAAAAAAAAAAAAAACAATGTTTACTACAACTTGGACTGTTCCAATAAGTTGTATGTTTACTGTTTATTTATTAATTATGTTAAAAATGTGTGTTTAGTTCATGGAGGTGGATCAAAATAGTGGTTCTAGGGGAGATGGTTTCAAATCATACTATACCACTAAAATCGAAGAACTGTTATTGGTCGTAGCAGAAAAAAGTATGAACCTCAGACGTTTACAGGCTCAGAGGAATGAACTCAATGCTAAAGGTACTTAATTAATGATAAATAAGCTTTAATATATTGTATTATGTTATTATATTATTTGATTAATACATTTATATTTCAAAAGACAAAATAATTTCATGTGTTGATACATTTGTGTGTAGTTGAATTATATTTGTGTAATATATATCATACAAGTTATTTAGTGATTGTTTTCTTTATTTGTTTTATGTTAACAGTGAGGTTGTTGAGAGAAGAACTGCAATTACTTCAAGAACAAGGTTCTTATGTAGGCGAAGTAGTGAAGCCAATGGACAAAAAAAAGGTTCTTGTTAAAGTACATCCAGAAGGAAAATTTGTTGTAGACATTGATAAAAACATTGATATCAATGATGTCACACCAAATTGTCGAGTAGCATTGCGCAACGAAAGTTATACATTGCATAAAATTCTGCCCAATAAGGTCTGTAAATACTTATATTCATAATTTTGTTGTTTAAGTACATTTATTACTTTTATATGTAATTATATTAGGTGGATCCTTTGGTTTCACTTATGATGGTCGAAAAAGTACCAGATTCCACTTATGAAATGGTTGGTGGATTAGACACTCAAATCAAAGAAATTAAAGAGGTCATCGAATTACCCGTCAAACATCCCGAGTTGTTTGATGCCCTTGGTATTGCCCAACCAAAGGGTGTACTGTTATACGGACCTCCTGGAACTGGTAAGTTCAATATCTCATACGAATATGAAATAGTCATTAATCATACTTTTTTATTTCAAACAGGTAAAACTTTATTGGCTAGAGCTGTTGCTCATCACACAGAGTGTACATTTATCAGAGTATCTGGTTCTGAACTTGTGCAAAAATTTATTGGTGAAGGTTCAAGAATGGTTAGAGAACTGTTCGTTATGGCAAGGTATAATATTGATTCTATTTCTCTTATAATAAATGATAATATTTATTGTACTGATTATGTTAAATGTTATTGCTACTGTAGAGAACATGCACCTAGTATTATTTTCATGGATGAAATTGATTCTATCGGTTCATCGCGTATTGAATCTGGTAGTGGTGGGGATTCTGAAGTACAGAGAACTATGTTGGAGCTGCTTAATCAGCTCGACGGATTTGAAGCAACTAAAAACATTAAGGTGGGATAAGTTGTGAACATTTTATGAGGGGCATTTGTAATTAACATGTCCACTGTATTTGCAGGTCATAATGGCAACCAATCGTATTGATATTTTGGATACGGCTCTGTTACGGCCTGGACGTATTGATCGTAAAATTGAATTCCCTCCACCAAATGAAGAAGCTCGTTGGGATATTTTGCGTATTCATTCTAGAAAAATGAACCTGACGAGGGGCATTAATCTAAAGAAAATTGCAGAACTCATGCCTGGAGCGTCTGGAGCTGAAGTCAAGGTAATGTGATTCTTCATGTTCTTATGAATTTTAAATGAAAACACTATAAGATTCATTTGATAATAATTATGTGTATTTTCACCTAATTTTCAACAACTTTCAATGTTATACAAATTTTAATAAATATACTTAATAAAAAATAAAACAATTGGCTCTGCAAGCTAAGTTTAGCTTGTTGTTTGACTTATACTAGGAAATTACTCTTATCATTATGAATTATGATTTTAAAAATAATACATAATATGTTATTGATATGAGTAATAAATATTAATATTAGCATTATATATTAGTATAACAGTATTAATATTAGTAACTTAATATATTTATTTTATCTAGTTTTTATTAATTTTTCTTTTTATAATATTTAAAGTTTGTAACTAATACATTGTAACCATTAAAAGAGCCTCGAGAATGTTATTTAAATTATGTCATTGTTAAACTAAAATTAAGAGAAATAATTTTATTATCAAACCATTTATATTGCAGGGTGTATGCACAGAAGCAGGAATGTATGCTTTACGAGAAAGGCGTGTTCACGTAACACAAGATGATTTTGAGATGGCTGTTGCTAAAGTAATGCAAAAGGACTCTGAAAAAAATATGTCTATCAAGAAGCTCTGGAAATAAATTTCAAATTATACCATATTCCACATTGTATCTTTTTTTTCTTATGTTTATACGACAATTTAAATGTAGTTAATTGTTTGAGTAACAACAAAAAAATTATTCATTAAATTAATATTATGCTCTGCCTTCAATTAATAAAATAAATGTATAATGTCGTATTTTATACATTTTTGTTCAAAAGTCTAATTTATGGAATAAATCAATTTCTTTGACTAAGTACAAAAATCATTTGTTGAATTCTCACCATGCTGGGATAGAATTTTTTTTTATACTTGGATAATATCCAACTAACGGTATTTAAGTTTAAATAGATACATTCTTATCGTACTGATTAAAACAATGTTCGATACGTTTTAACTGTACTTCAAGATTTGATTTTTTTATTTATAACATATTTATAAATTTATTAAATTATTTTTAAAACGATTGATCTTCAACAATGCAGGTTATTGTTTGAAGTCTATGATATTTAATTATGAATGTATTATCAGTTGAGTCAATGATTTTTGGACATTTGTAGAAGTTTAAAATGAAGATATTGTTACTATGTGATTTCTTGATTATCAGATGTACAAAAAATATTTGTTTATTCAAAATTCTAATAAATACTTGTATGTTTACGATCTTTGGATGCGAAGCATGGTCCAAAAAATCTAGTCCAAATAATTGTGTGTATGCATCAAAGATGTTTAAATTTGTTCATAGTACCCATACAAAAAGTTTTTTCTTTTGATTTATGCCATCATTGTTCACACACATTTCTTATGATTGATAATAGTTTAATGATAATCGCTGACACTTTTAGGCAGTTAAACTTAAAATGCTATTTTCAAGTAACCAGTAGAATTAGTATTAATAGTAGAATAAATAAAAAATTTAATTAGTTTATTGGCTGATACAGCACAATAATAATAACCAATAGCAGCAGTGCATGATGAATATGAAACAAAAAGTAATAGACTTAAAAAGTTAGAACATTCGTATAATCCGTTTGTGGAATATCAACAGGCGCTAATAAAACATTTGGTGATAAAATGAAACGATTTGCAGTATATAATATATATAAAAAAAAGTATATATTTACATGTATTTTTAAAATTTATTAGAAATACAATAATATTACGAGTTTTTTCCTTTCACAAGATTAATGTTAATATAATGACTGATGGACAAGAATTAAGAATAGCAAAAATTAAAAATTATTAATTAAGATTAATAATAATATCAGCAACAATTGAGAGTAGGTCTTGGTTTTCAGTCTCAACCATAATATGATTAAGAAATAAAATCATTTCCAATCAGTTAACTAGGTGAAAGAAACAAATTAAACACAAACACCAATTACAACAAACACACCACATTTGTTGGGCAGACGAGAAAAATGTCAGTGAAACAACAGACTTTCACTTTTTGAACGTTAACATAAATGGAATGTCGAGTTATATACTTATTTTAATATTAAACAAAATATTACACTGACAATTGACTTAATATCAGATATTTAGAGTCCAAAATTAAATGTTAAAACTTCTCTTTGTTTTTGAATTTACTAGGCAATTTTAGTTTTATAACAATTGAATAACTACATTTATCGGCCATGGACAATTTATAACCAGATGGACAAGGCATATTAAACTGAAGTTATAAAACAAATGCAAACATGTTGTTTAAACTTTAAATAGTAATATAAATAGTAAATTTTATTTACAAAAAAATTCAGCTTTTGTATAACTTAAAAAGAAAAAAATTATACATATTTATTTTTTATATAGCGGTATGGGTATGTAACTTTTATATAAAAAAATGTATACACTAAAAAAAAAATGTGTTTTTAAGCTAATAATAAAATTTCAAAATAAAGCTAAAATAATAAAAATGTGGGGAAATCAACATAACAATTATTTTTTCTGCATTACAAAATTCAGACAAAATATAAGTTATAAAATGTTTCGTTTAGAGGAAAGATACAATTATAGTAATTAGTAATTATGTATTTGTTTTTTTTTTATGATTTTATATAAGTTTTTAATATTGAAAATTAATATTAGTCAAACGGTTCATTAAAATAGTTTTGATCATTGAACTTCATGATAAAACTTATTAAGGAATTAATTACAACTGTGGACAGAGAACTAATGGTTTAACTAAGAGAACACATTTGACAATATTAATTTTGATGGCGAGTAAAAAAAATTTCTTTAGTCTGCTATATATATATATAATATATTATGCTTAAGTTTGTTTTCACGAATTACAAATAAAGTTTTTTTTTATTATTTAAATATTTATAATAATAATAATGTAGTTTGGAGTCGGTTAACGGTTGGCATTTTTCAATTGATTTGACAGCCAGTCAAGACCTTCATATAAACCATCACCACTAGTTGCGCACGTTGCTTGAATATACCAGTTACGATTGCGTAGCGTGTGTAAGCTTAGTTTATCAGTAATTTCAGATGCATTCATGGCATTCGGCAAATCCTACAATTAAAACACAATTTTAATATACATAATTTTTACTATGGTTATATTTATATTTACTTGTTTATTAGCGAATATCAATAATACGGCGTCTCTAAGCTCATCTTCACCAAGCATTCTCATTAACTCTTCTTTAGCTTCAAAAATACGTTCTTTATCATTACTGTCTACTACGAAAATCAAACCCTGCATCAAATCCAACAATTACAACATTATTTGTGTACATAGTTTTTACTTTTTTATAAACATGTTAATATATTTATTCCACTAATTAAGTTTCTAATTTAAATAGTTTTAACAAATTTGTTCACACAATACTAAATTATTATAATATCTTAAAGTATTCATAAAAACTAAAACACATGCCTGTGTGTTTTGGAAATAATGCCTCCAAAGTGGTCGGATTTTGTCCTGTCCACCAACATCCCACACTGTGAAACTGATGTTTTTGTACTCGACAGTTTCCACATTGAAACCTAGAATTATTGCATAATAATAATTCATAAATAATAATAAATTAAGTCAGTTAACAGAAAAATATCTTACCAATAGTCGGTATAGTGGTAACAATTTCACCTAATTTCAATTTGTATAAAATTGTTGTTTTACCAGCTGCATCTAATCCTACCATAAGTATTCTCATCTCCTTTTTGCCGAATAAATTTTTGAACAGATTTGCAAAAACATTCCCCATTCTGAAAAATAATTACTATTAAAATCATGATACAAAGTTTATTGACATAATAATTTTCATAATAGAACTGGTTCAATTTTATATACCTAATAAGTAATAAGTTAAGTGGCCTATTTTTAAATAATTGTAGAGGATTGCTCTTAGTTAAAAAATAAAACGGATAAAAAAATGTATGTAGATGGTCAGAGGGAGATAATTTTCAGGCCAGAACACTCCCATTAAAATACAATTGAATTCACCAACTTAATTTGATTTATAAGGTTAATACTATTTCAACAAACTAAATAATTATTAAAACTATCATTTGAATAACCATTTATTGTACAACGAAGATAAATACAAACAAATAGACTAAGAATATACCAAATTATAAATACATTGCTGTACCTAAATTATACCAATGACTTAAAACAAATAAATTAAGTTTTATACTATCCATAAAAATATAAAATCCAGAATTATCTTATCAATTGATAACAATTATCTGTTAGTAATAACCAATTATGAATAATTAAGAATGTCATTATAGTAAGTATCTAAAGTAGTAATTCTTATTTTTAATACTTTATTTAAAAAAATAATTTTTCAATTATTATTATTGTTGTTTAATAAAATAAAAAAATGTGAATGTTGGTAAGGTATCATAAATAATTGTAATATTAAAGCTTCTTTTATGTTTTAATGTAAATTGTAAATATTAATAATGCTTAGTATCACATTAGAATGTTAATTAAATTAAAATTAAAGGGTATTGAAGCATCTAAATATTTTAAGATCAACTACGTAGTAAACAAATCAGATGTTAACAATTAGTATTAAATATTAATAATTAAATTAAAAAAACTAAATACCATATGGTAGGAACTTTGATCAATAAATAGATAAGTTGGAGTAGTTTGCCACAGCTTAAATAAAAACAAAATATATTATCAATATGATAAAAAATTTACCTAATTAAAAATATATTAAGAATATTAAATGAAACACAAAGAAATACAAAGAATCATAAAAGATACCTGTTGCACACATTTTCTTCTTAAAATTATTAATACAAAACTAGTAGTTTTTTAATTCCAACATGGTAGTTATCTATTCTTAAAGAATAGGCCGTAACTAGGTATTAATGATATCCAATAATATTAGCTAATACAGGCTATAATAGAACTCAAATTTTTTATTAACAAGAAACATGATCAATTAAGTAATTTAGTTTAATAGCAAAATGGATGAATGCCAACTTAACTTATTTAAATTATTCTAGAAAAGTTCTTTTCTTTGTAGAATAATTTAAATATTATCAAATCCTGATGTAAAAATGTACATTAAATGTCAGCGACAAAGAAAAGATTAACAAAATAATCAAATACAGTATGTATATGTATATATATATATATATATATATATATATTGTTACAATATATTGATTATCTAAATAGGTTTATACTTTTAGGAATTAATAGTGAAAGTGTCAACGGTGTGTAATAAATAGGTTTGGACTAGGTACAAAGAGTATGAAAACAACTGATCTTCAGAATGATTCTTAAGACGATTACAAATTGAGTGTGTAATCAATTTTTCTATAAGCTGATGATCAAAACAGTCATACAAAAATAACAATAGTCGGGTGATTGCATATATTATGAAGACTGTACAGACACTTCACTTTGTCGGACAAATACAATCTGTTACATGTCGTATCCACTATCGAGATGGCTTTTGAGGTCAAGTACGTACACATATTATTATAGGTCTTTAATATTTCAGTATTTTGCTATAGATCTCGAGGGCGATGATCCAGGTTTCTAGTCTCTACAGAAGTAGGACAAACCGCACAAGACCATACCGCCGAAGGTGGACAGGAGCGTCGCCGACTCGAGAACCCGAAGACGGGTGCCGGTGAGACACCCGGGGAAAATGTGTTGTGCAGACGACACGTCATATCCGTCAAAACTCACAGGACACCACCGGAGGACTTATGGTTCGGCTGACTGGGCGGATGCGGAATCGCACACGTAGGCAGCAGCCGGCCGCGGTCGATCACGCACACAGCAGCCGGCCATGGCGATAAAACGGCGAACCGAAAAATCCGACGGCGGACCCCGAGACACGGCTAGGCCGCATCCCGTTTTCGGTACACGGGTGTTGGTGGTTGCTGTCGGTGTGGTACTTACTTGATGTCGGACGTAGGTCAAAGCGGTTGAACGGGTATGGACGACGACGATCGGCAGGCCGAGATGTGCGTGAGTGCGGAACGGGGCGCGTCGACGGTCAAAAAGTCTGATAAAAACGCAGGACGACACAGACTGACACGGCCGGATCGAATCGAAAAACGATATTATATTATCACGACGCGAATAACGAATACAATAATTATCTATATAAACGTATGCGTATCTACATACACACTTTTATGTATATATGTATGTTATGTATAATATATTACATGTATTATAATTATATATATATATATTTTTTAACCGATTATAGGATAAGATGGCGGCGGCGTACGAGTTCCTCTCTTGACGACTCGGTATTTCTCTCTATTATTTTACTTTTTTTTTGTATTTCATTTATTTACTTTTTCTCTCTCTCGCCGCTCCTGCGGTTTCTACATGCGTGCCACGTATAGAGCACGATTGTTCCTTGCCCGCGCCCGCCATTGGTCCGCCGGCGTCACGTGACCGACCGTCGTTTCTGCCATGAAATCGGCTGGTCGTCGTCGTCGTCGTTTTCGCGCCCCGGCCCCGGCCCCGCGGCCACGATATCCCAGGACGAGTGGCCGACGGGCCCGCCCGCTATAGTCGGTGGGCTCGCGCGTGGATTGGTAACACCTTGCACCACCGGTCCGGTGTGTCATTACTCTTTACGTGGTTACCACCACCACGGTACCCAAACACCCGCGGCTGCTTAGCTGCTAATCACCGACAGCGGCGCTATGCCCAGTCTGCGGTATGTCGAGTCCGGTGACCGGTAGATTGTTGTTACGACGGGTGATAAGCATAAATGCTGCCACAGTAACAGTACAGCGAGCACTACAGGCTACAGCCGCGTAGGCGACCGATAACAGGTCACAGGCGGTGGCGTACACACTACGCAGTCGTAGTTATTATGATATATTTCTACACGTAAGTGTTGAGTCCGTAACAGTCAGCGGCGGTGACGCGATGTTTTTGGGCGGAAACAAACAATTTAAATGTTTCCAAGCGGAGATGAAATGAAAAATGCTTTATTAGTTATTATTAATTATATTTATTTCTAAATAACAATATAATATATTGTTGTTATTATTATGAGGTGCGTTTGTTTTTTAGTTTCTCGTTAGATCATATAATATTATACCTTCAAAATCGGTGGTTGTGTAGGCGATGGTGGGAGGGGTGGGGTTCGATGTCGTACTGCTTGTGTATAAAACAATTTTAAATCATAATCAAAACACAACAACTGTTTTACATTACAAAAGCTAATTTATTCATTACGATACGTATATAACAGATGCGTAAACAGGAATTATTTTTATGGAAGTGCTAATTCAAAACGGGGTATTAAACATATTCTAAACATAAGAAAACATTTTTTTTTAATGAAATATTTGTACTTTTATGAAACATTCATATTTTAAATTAAAATTGGATAAAATAAATTAGGATTTTCTAATCATAATTATTAAAATTGTATGTTTTGAAATTATATCAAAACATTATTACAGTATTATATAAATATACAGAACTTTATTAATAAATAATAATTATAATATTTAATAATAATTGCTTATTTTTTTGTAACCAAATATAACATAAGCATATCAAAAATTCTAAACATATCAAACGAACCAACATTTATTATGATTACACATCACCTATACATGTTTTTAATTTTTGGTCATTTGGTGAGAATAAAAAATAAATTGAATGTAAGTGTCTCATCTAGTTATCCCAACCTATATTTTCTATTAAAATGTTTGCAAATTATGAGACCTTGACCAATGATTTCCTTTTTTAAAAAAAGCTTAAAAACCTTAGTAAATCTGACGAAGTCCGTAGGGCTATTTTTGGGGAAAAAAATGTATTGATCCGCCCACTGCACCCGAAAATATTGCTATATTAATTAATAGTTATTGATATTATTTGATTATTCCTAGAAAATATTAACCTAACGACTAACAACGAATGATTCTGACAATATGTCCTGTTATTTGCTATTACATACCTACCTACTTCTTAGTTATTACACATAATCAAAGTCTTATTAAACTATATCAATATCAATATGTACCTATTAAACTTGTTACTGATAGCATTATGATATATGATTTATTTATATTGATATTAAAACGATTTATTTAACTATTAGTAATAGAATAAGTTAAAATCTGTAAAAAATAATTATTTTTACCTAAACATGGCATTTTAAATGTCATTATGTATATAAAATATAATAATATACTTAAACATTTTCAAGTACCGCCAAAAAATATTTTTGTATTACAACAGAATAACTAAAATCCTTTTTTTGTTTAAATTGGTATCTATAATTTCGTTCAAATGTTGTACCTGTTCATCATCTTTTAGAGCAGTAAATGCTTAGATTAGTAGCGGTAAAATGCTTAGATTTTCAACTTCAACATTGTTTTCTGGCAGGAAGGTGAATCTACTTGGTACTTTGAGCCTTAATTGGTCGGTGGTCGTATGCGCTTCACTCCCTGCCCACAGATATGCATTTGAGTCTTGAGTAACGTCCTCATATGATATTCTTTACCAAATCATAACTGAGGCTAAAGCATGATATCCTGCTCTTTCTACTCTTTATATTTTTTCAACATCTTTCCCCAGAGCTGTGACTGCCTGTGGGCATTAAACTCTACCATTTTGACTGTTGAATTTTTCTTCTACGTCATAAAGACTAAAGAGTATTTGTCTGTGACAATTTTTTGCGCACTGCTCAAGTAACTTCTTAGCTTACGTCGTTCTAAATTCTAATTCTATAGGTTAAACTTCTGTTAACTGCTGACCGGTGCTTCTCTGATAATAGTACCAAGACCAAGGTCTTCTTTAATTATTCGTGACTTGGTTTTTGGTGGGATTTTAATTTATAGAGCCATGGTTCATAAATATAAGGACAAAACTTATGGTACGACTATAGGTTAACATCTAACAAACTCCTTAATTCATCAAAAACATCCAAACTACGACTTTACCATTATAATTCTAAGAAACGAGGATCCACCGGCACGTTGTGTTGACTCAGTCCTATAACATAGCTAGAGTGCAACACTGCCGGTGTTTTCTTATGCGTTTTTACGATATTTCAGTTTTCAACAAGTACCTATTATGATTTATGAGTAAGTAAAATATAACAATTTAAAAAACGTCCGTAACTTGCTAAAAATTAAAATAGGCATCGTAACAATCTGGAGACATGACGTAGCGGTAGCTTAAGTTAGTTACATTCACTCAATGATAGTAATAATAATACGCTTACTATAAACAATTCGAACGCCTATAAACACAAATTTGTTATGTTGTACGTTTGTAAGTTAGAGATAACACTTGTGGACCTGGCGTTCTCATATAATATAATTAACATAAATATATTATGTTGTTTACTCGTGTCTCATTGTCTAATATTATCGTAGTGTCGATTATTTCAATAGTTTAGGCGCCATACGAATAGAGTTAATTCGGTCAATAATCGTCAAGTTATTATCAACACACCATGTTATTATATTGCAGTGATGAACTTTTGATTCTTGATTGAGGTTCTAATGGCGTTTTATGGTATTGCAGTATAGTTGGGGTACACAACTATGTATAATCAATAATGACACAATGACTTGGACTGAATACCATTCGACAGGAAAACCGATTAATTTTCAATTAAACAACAGGCGTAAACACAGCTGTATAAAATATTGTTATTCGTTTATTATTATTATATCATTAGATAGGTGTATAGATAGAATTTATATTAAACGTACAATATTATAATAATTAGGTAATCAATCCGACGTCGAAGGTTACAAATTATAACATATATTTATCGGCAGCTGGTGCCAATTAAAATATAAATAGGTATAAGTTATAACAATATTCTCGCTTCGATAATTTAACGTGTAACAATAATATTATTGTGGGAACATAAGAAAACATAAAATATTATAATATTATATTGTCATGAATTCCTCAGCCTTGTGGTCCAGTCAAAATGGTTTACCGGTCGTGAATCGGTTGATCAGGTCCAGGCCCCAGATCGGCTGGTCTGCCGGCACCATGTGACCGGCGTCCCTGACCAGCAACACGGTCAGCGGACCGGCCGTGGTCGCGTAACCAGCCACGACGGTCTCGTTCTCGTGGCCCACTCGCCAAATGGTTCGCGTCGCGTTATGGAACCGCTCCGCGCCTGACCACTTAAGTGACTGTGCCATGTTCATCGTGCCCCTGTACGGCACGATGATGTCCAGCTGTCCGGAGTACAACAGAACGCGGTACTGGCCAGCGTCCAACAGGGCTGCCAGCCACGTGGCCACCGACTGCATCATGTCATTTGCCAAGTGGTGTTCGACCACAGTGCCGTTGTTCAGCGGCCGCTGGCCCACGTGCAACGCTTCCCGCATGAATGGCTCTTGCACGTACTTCTCCCAGTCACCGTACGGCGTCGGGTCCCGGTCCCACAGCATATTGAAGTAGTACCGCATGCCGGTTAGGTTCTGGAACAGCGACGGATATGGATAGATGTCGCCGTTCAGTAGTTTGTCGAAAATCCGGAAAGCGGCATCGAAGTCATTGCGGAGGATTTGGACGCGGGCCGTGCTCTCCAGTTCTTCCAACTCTTGTTTGCCATACTCTAGGACGAAATATTATAATATTATGATATTTATTATGTAATTATATTATAATACGAGTAACTTGATTTTAACCGTCGTATAGTCACGTCACGATGTAACATATTACAATATATTATATTAGGTATGTATAGTGACTGAGGCTGTGCATTTGTAGAAAATATGTTATGCTTTTTTAACTTATGCTTACTGCCATGGTTTTCCTAGTTCAAAGTGAGAATTATTTGTAACAATGAACTTCATCTTTTTAATGAGTCTTTTAACTATTTGCACTTTTAAGGTAATGTTTTGCTCTTTATCGCACTCAACGGTATTATCCTTTAACAATTTTGAGAAAATAACTTTTTTTCTCGTATTTTAAGCTTTATTTTATATTTTTTTGAATTAAATTATTATTATTTTTTGTTTTTAATTAAAATTTATTATGAACATATTATAAATGTATAATATGGTTATGATGGTTATTGACTTTCATAAAGCCTAGGGTGTTTATATTTTTAGAAGTTTGAACTATGTCACGAACATGTTAAATACATTTTTTCAAGGTTTTCTATAGTGCATCTGATTCTTAGCCCTAATAATGACGTAACTAAATGGCTAATGAGTTTAATGGCTATAGGTTATATATATATATATTTATATGTGTATGATATATTATAGTTACCGTCGACGAACCCATGTTGGTAAAGGTATTCACTGTACATCAACTGGTTGATGGGGTCGACCAAACCATTGCCAATTGCCAGACCCTTGAGGTTGATCTTGACCTTGGCATCGGGGTTGTTAAGGTGGATGGAGTATGACACAGCTGGCACGTACTTGCCTGCGTAAGACTCACCGGTCACGTAGAAATCGTTGTTCTGGTACTCGTGGAACAGTGTGAAGAACTGCACCAAGGCGGTGTACACGTTGAGGCCGACTGATGCCTGGTTGGTGCTGTAACCTCCGTCGTCGGAGGTGAAGCTGTACCCCGTGCCCACTGGGTTGTCCAGGTATATCACTGAGTGGGTGGCCACCCATGTGTGGTTGCGCAACTTGAGTCCGTGGCTCTTGGCCACCGAGAACGGGCCGTGCTCGTTGAACAAGGCGTACAGGCTGGACGCGCCCGGGCCACCTTGCAGCCATAGCATGACGGGCGCGTCTCGGGCGCTGTTCATGGCCGGGAAGAACCAGAAGAACATGTTTGAACCGTGCTTCTCGTCCACAGTCAGGTAACCGGAGTAGCTCTCGATAGCTGCCTTCAGGGGTTTCACACTGCACGCAGCCCGTGCTTCTTCGATCCGGCCTGCCTGTATCAGGGGCGTCAGGTAGAGGGCCCCATCGCTACCGCCGCCTCTGGGTGCCATCGCTACGGCTGTCCGACTGCAGGCGAACAAGCAGAGTACCGCGGCCAACAGCGGCGACGCTAACATCGCCACCACAAAACGCATCGTGATCAGACTGTATTATTAAAACCACGTCTCGTTGTAGTGAACAAGCTGTACCTTTACAATATTATAATATAAAATAGTAATAATAAAAATATACGATGAGATCTGAACTCGACTCGGCGTTAATTATTATTACTATCGCCGCTGCAGGAATGACAACAACGTTCGATCTCGTCGGGACTCGGCAGCCGACTGAAAAGTGAAAAGCGATAAAACGAAACAGCGATAAAATAATATATTTGAACTGATCATATTATATTATTGTTGTGTATATAATATTATTGTATTCAATTATTATTACACCGTAGATTAGATCACCGCCGTCGAGCAACGTATTATTTGAGAATGTATAATATTATAATATTAATATGTACCTATTTCCTATACATGGTGGAGGTAGAGGTCACTTTATTAAGACGACCCGCCTCGTCTGTGTATACGCTCGGCGATAACAGCTTAGAAAAATCTATATCTACCGTCACGTAGACCGCTCTACGCTATCGGGCTCGAAGTATATAATATTGTTATTTATGACCAATAATTTAGGTACACGTACATTTATAACATTATAATTATATTACATTATATTAAATTAATAGCTTATATCGATTTAAAAAATTAGAAGCAACAATTATATTTAGTAATAGCTCAATGAAAATAAGAAACTTTTGTTGGTTAAAACTGTGTTTTACTGGGTAACACTCTGAAGTAAGTGTAAATACCCAATTCAGGGACTGCTTCGGACACTTGCAGGTTGTGTGTGGGGGGGGGGGGGGTTGCTAAGTCATAATTTACAGAAAGCTTTCGGTAGTACTATTTGTTTTTTTTTGTAATTTTGTTTATAACAATATCCAATTTTTAAGAAATGCTTGGCACCTATGGTCCTTAGCCCTTATTCTAGCCTGCTCCAGTACGCCCCTGATCCAATTTTGATAAATTATTCAGTGTATACCTCGTCAGAGAAATCTACTGGTCGTGTATGAATATTGTGAATGTTTATTAATTATTATACTATACATGTGATAAACGATAAATGTAGTGGAAATTAAAGACTTCCTATAGGCACATATACATAATACTAACATTTTATTATCGAACTCATAACCTAAGAGTTTTTATCAAAACACGCACAAAGTCCGACTTCCAAAAAATTATTGCACTAAACCAAACATAATGTCATGACGGCAATAGTTGGTATCTACTTATTTAACATAATAAAGTGTAACCCGTTCTATAACACTGGTCAATTGCAGCTTTAAAAATGATTTTAAAAGATATGTATTCTTCTATCATGGCAAATGGAGACGCTTTAGAAAAGTATAGTGATGCTTATACGATAGTATTATCGTATAGTATTTATTTTTATATTTATGTAGTATAATACATTATATTTTGTATTTACTATTTTGTAATATTTAGCATATAGGAAGTAAATTATTTTAATATTTTTTACAAAAGTATCAAAAAAGGTACCAGATTACCTAATTTATTAATAACATGATTACGTATGATAGTACATTTGACATAATTTAAATAATAAGTTATTGTAGGTACTTAATAAGATGGTCAACTTTTGTTTATTTATTGTGATATAATGATTTATTGAAATACCGCATACTATATTCATGCAGTATGTGCATGTATCACTGTATCGTTGTTTGAGGGTAAATAGGTTAAATAGCCACGATGCCACAGACAGACAGATAGATGGGCCCCGAAGAGGGTTTGTTATTTCGTTTGTTGAATTAAATGTATAACGCAACAGCTACTGTAATCGTATTATTGTATATTTAAATGGACAACAGATTCCGAGAGATAGAATATAAATATTATTGGTTTTATAGTAATTTATTTTATTTTCAAAAAAAATATTATAAATAATTCGAAAACATTACAAACTATAATACTTAATAGTTGAATTTGAACAATAAATAGTGCAAGAGCACCAATTTAGTTATTTGATTGCTCGGAGATCTCTTCATAAACAAGAGGACAGACTTTTTTAAAACTCTAAAATAATATGGTACAAAGATTTTAGTAATATAATATAAATTGAAAAACGAAATGTATTTGGTGATACCTCAGATGCCACAATATGTAAAAAGTAAGCAGTATCCTTTCCCGTCTGTTCAACCATTTTGTAGAAAAATCCATTAATGTTTTTCAACAATCTATATGGATGGTCAAATTCAATTATTTTTCCAAAATCCATTACTAATACTTTGTCAGAGTCCATAATAGTATTTAAACGGTGAGCAATTGTTAGTACAGTGCAAAACCTAAATTTATTCCTAATTGTATTTTGAATCAAATTATCAGTCCTGTAAATAAAAATTAAGATGTGTGGGATTAAAATATACTTTTGGATAATAAAAGAAATTGCAATATTCGACATTTTTATTACAGCGGATCAACATTGGCAGTAGCCTCGTCCAATATCAGGATCTTATTTTTTTGTACTATTGCTCTAGCCAAACAAACTAATTGCCTTTGTCCAACACTGAAATTCGAACCACTCGCTGACATTTTTGAGTTTAAACCGTCGGGCAAGTCCTCTATATAGTCTTTGAGTTCTACCTATAATAATATTTAATGCATTAATAATTATTATTACAAATTTTTCAGTTAATAATAAAATTAATATTTTGTTTTAAGTGAAATTATTTAGAACAAATACTTCATCTAGAGCATTCCAAAGAGCATGATCCGGGTATTCGTCAAATGGATCTAAGTTTGTTCGCATCGTTCCGGAAAACAGTACAGGTTCTTGAGGAATAATAGACAACTTAGATCTGAGGTCTTTGAGTTCTAATTCGTGTATATCTACGCCATCAATGATGATTTTACCTTCATTCAGAGCTAATCTAAACAATGCTCCGATAAAGGATGATTTACCTGCACCAGTCCTACCAACAATACCTATCTAAAGAAACATAAAAAAAATCATTATTAACCATCTAAAATAACTCTCAAATCACCTACTTTTTCCATTGTCTGAATTTGAACGTTTAGATCTTTTAATACATATGGCGAATCTGGGCTGTAACGCAAATTAAAATGTTCGAATACGATTTTTCCGGAATAAGGCCATCCTTTTGGTTTCGGTTTTTCTAGAAAACCAAATAATAATTTAAATACAAATTATTCATTTTACATAAAATAAATTATCAAGTTTTACTAGTAGAAGATTGAAGAGTTTCTTCTATTGGTAAATGTGTATATTCTAATATTCTTTCAACGTTTATCATTTTGTTTTCTAAAGATGTTGATAGTTGTACTCCCCATTCGATTCTACCTATCAATGAAATCACTTGTGTAAGAGCTAGACCAACACTTCCACCAGGGACATCTAAAATTAAATTTAATTTATTAGAATAACATTGTAATAATTCAATGTGTATTTTTGTTCTTGACTTACTGTTGCCGATTACTAAAAAGCTGGATATTACAATACTAATATAAATAATACAAATTATATCCAACCAAAACCCGAATCCTTGATTTAAACAGTAACACAAATGTGAAGCACTGGTATGTAAATCCTAAATGAATATAGCAAAATATCTAGATTATATTTTTTTTATTAACTAACCAACCCGCACCAACATATGCCATTGGGTGGTTATTTTTTGAATAGGTTTTAACTTTAGGGAAGGGTTCGATTGGTTTGGAACAGGTGTATGTGTGGCAAGAATTTGCCACTAAGAATAAGGATGGCCACCCATCCGGGAACTAGTGTCACCAGCTGGTGCTCACACTTAGAGCACATTTGTGATATCGCGCAACACCAACTACTAATCACTATAGTATTATATTACTAACATACAAATTACAAATATATACCAATAATACATATAAACCACTCAAATAATTGGTATATTTACATCGTAATATACTAATTTAAACTTACTTGATGTTTATCGAATTCTTGAGATAAAATAAGTTCTACTTTAAATGCTCTTATTGTTGTTAAGCCTTGTAATGATGAATTCATATGAGCCAATACAGGACTTCGTGCTGTTTATAGTTACACAAAAAATTTTTTTTAATTGATAATAAAATATAGATAATATTTGGTATACATGTACAGTTTAAATATGACACTTACTAGTTCCTTCTAATCTTTTGACACCTTGCGATGGATTGAAATACATACATCTTAGTTTGTAAATGATAATTGATACCATTATTGTTGGTATAAAAAGGTGAAAATTAGTTAATGCCACAATAAATAGAGTTCCCAAGATGAACAAAGCAGTCTATTATTGCAAATAAAAAAATAAATTCAAAGATTTTTTATATTTAAACCGAAAAAAATATTAAAGGAACTGTGTATTTATTATTTAACTTATTACTTGTATGGAATCCAAAAAAATATTTGGTAAGATTTTATCCACCTCTGCCATGTCTTTAGAAAAGCGGTTCAATACCTGCCCTGTATATAATAACATACATTTTATTATGCAAAATTATACGTAAATCACAGAATTTAAAAATAATAATTATAGGTACCGGATGAATTTGTATTGAAAAAAAACATTGAAGTTCTTATAATGGAATTGAACATTTGATTGTGTAAATTTACTGAAGATTTTGTTGTCATTTTAACAAATATAACCGATCTGACGATACCTGATACTATCAGAGAAACCATTAGTACAACATAAATAATAACAAAATGTTGCTGGAAATTTGACATCAACAATGATGCACTATATGAATCACGAGGCACCGATGTATTATTGGTATTGTGAGATGTATTTAATAGTTTATGAAATTCATATACTTCCTGATTGACCCTGAAAATTGTAGATACAAAATGTATTTATACTTCAATATTTAAATAGTTAATTATTATAATAGTCGTATTATTTACCAAAAGCTAAGCCAATAATCTCCACTAATAATTAGAACTTGAGTAATAATGCACATAAAAATACAAAACCCAATGTTAATTGCGCTTCCGCCAGCCAAAATGTATGAAAAAAATGTATTTTTAGAATTATATTCATATGACTGGAGTGCTGATATTTTATTAGGTCTTGGAGCTGGGTCATTACTAATTTGATTTTTATACTTAGACGATATGATACTGTTACTGGATCCATGCAGAGATGAAACTAAGTATGTATCACCTCTATTGCTGTTTTTACTGTTAGTTTCAATTTCATTTTCAATATTATTATCGTTGGAAGATCCAAGTAAATTGGCAAAGTCAAAATTGCAAGATTTTAGATCTTGATAAGATCCTTCACTTACTATATTACCCTGAAAATAAAAATAAACATCAAA